AATGAACGAAGAGACGGGACGGACAGAGGCGCTGAGTCTTGAGAAAATGAGAAGGGGATGGGAGAAACGATGAGAGACGTGCCGTACCGCGGTGCAAAAAGGAGAGGTACAAAAACGAACAAGTCCAACTGCTGAATTAGACGATGCATAAAAGGAAGGAAATGTTCTATTTGACGGAGAATAAAGAGACGCAAGCTTGTCGGAGCGACGAGAATAGGAGCGAATCACTTTCTTATTGCGTAGGTCTCATCAACACACATATGTATCAAATCAGATTTACATTTATATATATATATATATATAAAACCTAAACAATTATATAACAAATATATATATTATTTAAATATATATATATATATATATATAAAACCTAAACAATTATCATATTTATATACTTTTATTTAGGGACGAATTATTATTAGAATAAAAGAAGTATTAATTGGGATTCGATGAGGATAATGAGAAAGCAGCTAAATAAAAGCCAAACTCTCGACATATTTTCGAATAACGCGCAGTGAACTAGTAAGAGACTCTTTCAAAGAACAGGAACGAGTGCAGAAAGTGTCACAGCAGAATGAATCAATTCAAATGAGCCGCGACATGGCGGATAATGAGAGATCGGCGCAAGACTATAGTCGCAAAAGAGACGAGCTCAGAATCCAAGAATCACAGGCAAACAAGCGCGAGAAGAAACGAAAGGACGCGCACGAATGTACATAAAGTATGCTTTGCACGTGCTTTGAGGATTTTGCGTATTTGCCAGCAGCTGCCATAAGCATTCGAGAGAAGACACCGTCATAAATAGAGGGCGTAAACACTTGTCGGACTCGAGCAGACGAAACCTTTATTATATTTCGCGCGGACGTTTTAGCGTAGCTGAAAAACTGCACGATACACCAGGCCAGTGGTATTTTTAACCCGCATTCGTGAAAATAATCTTCCGGCGGCACGCGAAAAGAGAGAGAGAAAGAGTCAAGGTTCTCTTCCCGCGAAGAGATCTTTCGTCTCTCGTGTTCTTCCGTCTGACCTCGCTCGTTCGCTTCCACTTGGAAGCCGAAGCGACGAAAATCGAGGAAAAGCGCGGTCGTCGAGGTGAGAAATGCCGCGTTGCGAGGGTATTTTAACACGGTTCACTGACTCCCGGCTATGCGGGTTCTTAGGGGTGATAGCAATGACGGGTTCTTGATTTATTTATGGATGAGATATTACCGATGCCGGTCTATATTTACGAATGTGGTATATTACTATGGTGAACGGCAGGGTAAGAGGACTTTAAGAAATTAATTGTAAGAATTGTTAATGTCACTTTATTTTTAATGTCAGAGTCTTACCCTTTGTCCTTTACCTTTCACTTTTAACCGTCGTATTTTCTCGTGTATCATTTTTATGCTACACGTGTCAACAATTTCTCTCATAACGATACGCCCCAAGCTTATATACATTTTTTTATTACTCTTCTCGAATTACGCGCCCTGATCGTATACATGCATATACACGTACTTTATGAAATAAATTTTGTATATGAGTGAGATATAGATGAAAACTTATTTCGCATCACAAATGTCGCGGCAACGACTTTTTTTTAGACGCGATTCTCGTGCTCGAAATCCGAACGTTGATATTTTGACGTTCGCCCCATAAAGTGCATTAGTGACGATGTGCATCGACGAACGCTCGTGATATTTTTAACGCCCCCCGACTCTCTCGTACCCTAACTCTCGTCTTTCCTTGCTCGCTTTTTTCGAAATGGTCGACTATTGGATTACTTACATACGCTTCGTTGGCTATAACTTAAAATGCAATGTCAGGCGACAATGTGCCGGGAAATGCGGCGGGTAAGGCTGTGAAAAATGCAGGCCTACATTACTTCTGAATTGTCGATGTCGGAGATGCATTTTTCTCTTGGTTTCAAGACTAATTGAAAGATGTCGTTTTATAAAAAATTTACAACTTACATTCATAACATTTATATTACACGTCATTATCGTAAACGTTATCGGTGAGATTTGCAATGCAAATACAATAAAAGCAGTAAATAAAAAATCGTGATGATATCGAGTTAAATGATACGAGATAAATCCAAGTTTTCTTCGACAAACATTATTAATAAGGGCGGATTATTTATTGTATTACGAATTCTAACACAAGAGAATACCTAAATATCGTATCTTTATCGTCTTTTCCAGATCGATAAAATTACTTCCTTTATTCGCAGCTATTAATTACCGCGCTAAAGCCGAAAGCTTTCTGACTAAATAGCGAGCTGTTGAATAAAATACGCCGGTACATACTATACTTGTATTTTCAAGAGGGTAATTCGTCCGTGATATTTACTCACTAATTTCGTCGCGGTTTCCTTTCACGATCCGTCTAGTTTCGTCCTGTTAGATCTCTGTCGAGATCGCGAGATTCGACACGGATGAAAGTTTGCCTAGTTCTCACGAACGAGATAGTACACCAAAAATACATATATATATGGTACATGACGCGTAAAGCTTGTCCGTCATCTATCAAAGACGGAATCATTCCGTCTTCATGATCCGTTCGAAAAAAGAGGCTCGCTCGTTCTTTTCTCGCCGGTTTCGGCCGATCCATCAAAGCCGACCGAATCTAGAGTCTTAATAGGGCCGCGATTTCCCGCGAGGACCAGCAGACGGGCCGCCGAAATTATGGTTCCCTCATGCTCCCATTACGGGCCCATCTACAGGTCATGTTTCCTCGCGGGTTTCTCTCAACTCGCCTCCTTCCCCAAGCCTGCGTACCACGCCCTCGTTTCGGTTCACCGTCCCTGGCAAACAATCTCCGTGGGGCATTTTTGGCCCTTTTGATCGATGTCGACCTTTTCATAGGTCTAGCTCGCGCACGTAGAGAGACTTTGGGCGCGTTATGTGTGCGTCTACCGTGTTGACTCGGGCGAGATTTGATGGACAATATCGTAATGCAGTCGCCGGAATAATTTCGTACGGGCGATATACCGACGATATACCGGCGCCGGGAATATGGCCGGGAATCCTTGGCCATGTTGATCGATGTTGACGTTCACGTGTTACCGTTAATGGAGAAACAGATGACGCTTTTGTGGCAGCGTAGGAGAGCTTGTATTTTATTTACAATCCTGTTATCGGGAAAGCGATGATATTGAGGATACATATTGGAGGCTATACATATACTTTGTTATATATGTTTTAATTGAGCACGTTTGCGCCGATTGTACGTATCTCTTTTCACGGCGCTATGCTATGTATGCCTTTTCCTGCACTGTACATTTCACGTTTTGTAAAGATATATCAATGCGGAAAATTTAATTTAACTCCCTTTTTACGATTACACTTTTATTTATACATTCAAGTTAACCAATTTATTTCACTTTAACGATGATATAACAAAACTTGTCGATATGAATAAAAATCAATTTGCACTTCATACAATTTGCAATTAAATTCTATTTCGCATATTAATTTCGCGTGCGAAAATTTTCATCGATACGTCATCGACAAAAAACTTGTAATTTATGTAGAATCTATTTATGAAAAAATTTGGCACGCGAACAAATTATTATATATTCTAATTCGAAAAATTTAATCTCTCTTTTTTTACGCTTTTATTTATATTCAACATGACCAATTTATTTGATTTTAATAACAAAATTTAGTCGATACGAATAAAAATGATTTTATGCTTCATCGAATTTGCAATTAATTTCTGTTTCGCGTATTAATTTCGCGCCGCAAAAGTTGTCATTGATATACTCAAAAAGAAATATAATTTACGTAGAATCTTTTTGCCATACAAAAGTTGCACGTGTTTGCGAATTGATTTTACATATACACGAGTTCCAGCACGTATACGCTTACATCCGACATTACAAATGGTCGATAGGAATTGGTCAATGTCCTTGCATTGATGCAAGATCCGTGCATAGTACCGAAGTTACCAAATTGCCTATGACTAACTTGCATTCGAAACTACGTCCATTCGCTATTGCGCCGACGATCACTGCTCGTTTCCTGCGCAAACACAATTTCCGTTTTCCTTATTCCGCGTTGTAACACACAGAGTACACCACTCATATTATGATCCATGTTTTGATGCTCGCACTTTATTGGTGCGCCTAGGGCGTACGAAATAATCGCGTTGTGCTACATCGAGTGCATCCAATAATATTGCATTAGATTGCAAGGGGATAAATCTGCAACGGACAATCCAAACGTGCATTTATCTTTCGAGCTATGCTGGTGGCCATTTTTCTTCTCCCAGTGCCCTTTGCTTCCCTATACCATATTTTATATCTCTGGATATAATTTCTTGGCATCTCCCATACGGAATTAATGTCTTCACGCTAGGTACGTTCGGAGATGTATTTTTTACATATCAATAATAGTGGATGTAAAGAACGTTCAAAAATTAGGTCGATTCTTATTTAAAGGCAATTTAAATTTAATGAGGCTTTTTTAATAAGGTTAATGTATATTAAAAAATGATTTAAATCTGATAACATAAAATAATGAAATTTTATTATTTATTTATTTAGTAGAATCTATATATAAAAATCTTTTAGTAAAACATAATAACTATAAATGTATCTTTTATATGTGTTTAATTAATCAAGCATGTAATTTATTTAACCTAAATTTTTTTTGTCAAACTCAACCAACTACACATTTCGGAAACTAAATCGTTTTAAATGTATAAATTAGTCAAACTCAAGTGAAAAATAGATAACTTATTTTTATTTTTATTTCAAATTAAAAATAAAGTAGAATTGGAAATTAAAAATAAAGCAAATTTTACCACAGTGTTCCATAAAAAATACATACGTATGGATAATATGAAAATATGTATGTAATGTTTAATAAATTAATGCACCGAGACAAGAGAATTCTGGAAATTATTACCATTTTATTTGAATACTTATAAAGATAAATGACATAAATTTTTTATAAATATGTCACGTTGTATAATTACACTTTTTAAAGACATAATTTAATTTTCTTTTTTAGATCCTAAATTTAAGGAGCCAATAACCAATGTAACTGCGCCAGTAGGAAGAGAAGCCATTCTGTCCTGCGTTGTTCAAGATCTCGCCGGATACAAGGTAATTCAAATTTTAATGGATACGTTTGAACACATTCCGTCCATCGATTTTTCATTAAAGTGTCGGATGCCGTTAACGTGTCAATTATGTTTGTCACAATATCTCTTTATTCGACACAAATTTCCTTCCCCCTCAAAAAAAACCATTTCTCTTTTTCAACGGAATCAATAATAAATAATGTTAGCGGATACATTATTATTACAAATAATCTTTTGCAATAGAAAAAGTTATTTTGTTTTGTAATTAGAAATCAATCACGTTTTGTGATGTAATTTAATGTTAAATTTTTACGTGAACGTCTAATTAATTAACTATTCGTGAAAAAATTTTGATAAAATTAGTTCACAATCTTAAAATCAAGATATTGCAAATATCTGAAAAATAAGAAATAGAGTGACAGTTTTTTTATCGTAAAATTATTTAATGGTTGAAGCTACTTATCAGCTGATACATTCTCATACCCCGGGTTTCGTTTTGTGAGATTATAAAACGTGTTTTTATAGCGTACTTACGAGAATAATTCATGAATAAGTAGTTAGGAACTGGCTGCGCGGAAATTCTGCGCGGCCATTTCATAGCACCGCGAATGCTTCTCATGATAACAAGTATCTAAATGGCGCTAAGTTACTTAAAGTGAGGCGACGGTTTCGCAATTTTAATGGAAAACATATTACCAATACATGTTAATGAGCAGCGATCGAAAAATCTTTAAGATAATGTAATTATATAACTAAGTTATTTAAAATGTTAATAATATATCGAAATCTTCTAAAATTTGCTGCATATCTCTCTCAGACATTTCCATTTATTAATATATTTATTAGAGCAGATCGCTAACAATAAGTATATCATTAAATAAATAAATTTTATTTTAGAATCAAAACTTATTGTTAGTAAAAATATTCTAAAACAAAAAACAAAATGTAAAACATTGATAGGCTGAATTTTTGTAACCCATTGACCTCATTAGTCGAATCGAAACGAAAAAATTAAGTGAATTTCTATCTTCCTCCGCAATTCTTTTTACACACTTCAGATCTAAAGAATCCTTCTGCGCAGCCGAAGCAATTAGTTAATTAATTAGTAAAATTACGCAAAGAGGTATAAAAATGAATACTTAGCAGGCATAAACTAGGACAGTCTCATTCACAGTCTTTATTCGCGATTCAGCTGCATGCAGTCAGCTAGAGTAGGTTTAGCGAAAATGTTAGGTGGGTAATGGCTTTCGCGAAGTACTAATTAGAGAATGAAAATCGCGTGAGAGGTAAAAACAGCGCCAGAGGAGAATTTGATAAAATTCTTGTCTCCAGAATCGGCTGCTCATCGGCCTCAATATTAAAATATTAAATGGAATCGAGTAAATAATCATGTGAACAGTACTTAACGGTATTGCTGGGATATTTCGAATAAATTTTAATGCAAAATTCATATATTAAAATATTCCAAACAGTTTGCTTCGTACTGCAAATTAAATACGCATTGACATCTAAAAATCTATTTGTTTATTAAATAATGTCGGAATATAATCATAAATTTCATAACCGCATGCTCAATGCATGCGTACTGCACCACGTATTTTTCGCGAATTTGTGAAAACTGTCATGCAAAGTTCGCGCATAAACTCTCGTTGAAAAAAAGTTACATTTTTATTCGTTTCCTGGTTGGTGTGCAAAGTTGGTATATAAATAAGCTTTGTCCAAGGAATTTTTCTGAGCTCATACTTGTTTGACATTTAAGATATTAGAAAAGCGCGACCAAGAGAATGACAAAAAGAGGGTATTTTATTGCATCGTAAACAAAAAGGCGTTTAAAATAATGAAGCGTTAGTTTTATGAACCACAATAAAAGTGCTGCTTTGTTCGTATTAATTACCACTTGTTACGCACAATAAATTATAATTGCAGAACAATTTTTAATGAAGGGATGCTTTTGACAAACTCTTGTAAAAAGCAATCGGCGCTTTTAAGTTTATTTTATATTTTTATTTTTCATTATTACATTCAAATTGCATTGCAAGTGATAAAAATATATATCGTGTAATAAATAAATGATAAATGTAATTTTTATATTTAAATATGAATTAATTTTATCTACAAGACCCATACATAAATGCATAATATACAATTCACTTGATCAAAGAATTTATAAAAATAATTATACCATGAAAGATATTTTCTGTATATATAAAAAATCTAAATTTTATTATTTAACTTTTAATTTTATCATATGTTTAATTTTATAGTAAACAATTATTATATCTCGATTGTTTATGCTATTATTATGATTATTTGCAGTGCCATAAATAAGAAAATATTAATTTATATGTTTTGCAATTTGAAAAGATTGATAATATTTATAATATATAAATAAGGATTATATTTAATATTATTTAATGATTTGGCATTGATTTAAATTTAATAGATCTGATATTTATACATAGTACATATATAATCACATATATTCTACATAAATGTGTATTTTATTACATATAAGAGTAACGTACAAAGAATTTTACAAATAGTATTATTTGCAGATATTCTCATTTTTCTGAACCCAATTAGAATTTGTATCATAATATAATTGCTTCATGCATAATGCTATCCGGATTGTAATGATTGAATATATCTATTCCTCGTTCACACTGTGTACGGCTTCCGTTTGAATTACATTCCGTCAATCGAGAATTAATTGAGGGCTGCTTAATTAATTTTGAGAGCGATAGGTTCTAGTTATTTGGCTTCTAATTGTCGATCATAATGTGAAACCGGCCCGATGTAACATCGTTCTTAGTTAACAAACTATAATCGCGTTTTAAAAAAGAACGTTTGTGAAAATCCATATATTGTATATATAATATACATATACTTATTTATTTATTTCAAATATCTATACTTGAAATATATATTCATAATAATTGCAACGAGATATATGATAATTACAGAATGATTATAAAATCGGGAAAAATAGCAGCATCTACGAGAGAGCGAAAGGAGAGATTTATGCGCGGTGTGGGAATCGCGGGAAGGATCGACAAGAGGGAAAGGTATTGAAAACTATTCATCCCGTGTGCCGGCTCGGCCAACATGAAATTCAAATCGATGCATTTATAGAGACCATGCGGACCACCCGTCCGCGGTCGACATTGCTTACGTGGGGACGACGTGGGGTTGAGCAAAGGAGGGTGGTGGCAAGAGAGAGGATCGACGGGCAGGAGTAGGGTGGAATAATCGTGCCGTTTATAAGCCGGTGGTGCGTCGCTCGGTGTTCCGGCTATGCATTAAGATGACGGATAACAGCCGCAGCTATGCCGGAAGGCTTGAATCGTCACGATACGGAGATAACGACGCCTCTCCAGGCTCTCGTCGTGCCGGTTTACATGTAATACGCGCCGCCAGACATTAACCCTTTTACATACCACGTGATACCCGCACGTGCGTCGAGCTCTCCTCTGCCTCGTCGTCGATATTCCGTGCATTCAAATGCATTTCGCTGCATTTCACTGCGCTGGCTGCAAATGTACAAATTATATTTCGCGTCATTTTCAAGTCAATATGCGGTGAAACTATTAATATGTATTAATAAGATTATTCAAGTGCTTGATATGATCGATTCTCTTGATAGAAAAAAAAAAAAAGGAAATTTAGATGCAAAGAATCAGATCGTCCACTGAATTTGAAATTTATTTTTTATACATTTTTTCAGATTTATTTAATTCGCCAAATTATTATCTTTTTCTTTCGTGAAAAGGGGGAGAGAAAAGATGTTATGTTCGACAATAATAGTTGCATAACTGGTATATTTAGTATAGCGACACTTTGTAATAGATGTGGACAGGGCTAACAATAAGTTATAGTCCGAGGATATAATAGATGGGTCGACCGCGGGTGATCGGGCATATTCTTCTCAAGATTATATAGTTTCCATCGAGAGCTATCAGCTATATATGAATTTTAATTACAAAGTTTAGTTGCGGTTCCTCGAATCGAATAACTATGGATCGTTAACTAATATCCGACTAAACTCGAAGCCGCGCCGTCAATTATTGTTTGCCTCTCGTTATCCATTACTCCCTTTTAGTCATCGTCCATATATTTAGCTCTAAGCCGCAGTTAAAGTACATGTAAAATTGTCGAAAAAATTAAACAAACGGTAACGCGTAGCAATAGTTAATTTTATTCAAATAATTAGAGCAATTAATTAATTATGTCGCGCGGCGGAACTAAGTAGGACAACGTAACTTGGTTCATTAATAACAACAGCAGTACGTTAATTATCAGCAAATTTAATGATGCACACATAGTACATATAGTATCTCTCCCGAAACTAACACTTGGGGGAATAATATAAAATAGATAACATAAATGTATAACATGCTGCAGGATAATATAATATAATATAATATGTTTATTGCTTGTTCAGCATTTTACTCCTCAACGATGGATAATGGCTCTTCATTACGTTAATTTTCGGCAATCGATATCAGTATCTCCGGCGCGATTCTCCGATTCTCCGATAAGTCGGCGGTCTAATTGGCACTCAGACTCGAGATCGTTGTATTTCTTCACCGTGCTTTCGCCGACTCATTTTCGCCGACGATTTATATTCCTTCGAACCTGGGGGAATGGGTGGGAATTTACACGTCGCGTCGTTGAGAGGAGTTGCATCTGCATCTGGCAGTTGCGGATCAATCTGAATTCGCAAACACGACGTCGCCTCCGCTTCGTCTGCCTGCAGGCCGCCCCGACTCATCGGCTTTCAGGCCATAGGGCTGGATTAATCATGGCCTTCTGTAAGCACTGATGCATCCGCTAATCCGGGACTCTCTCACTCGATTCAACCATTTCTCCGGAACGATCTACCGTACCATTATATAATAGTGACTAGATTCGCCGGATTAAATCCACAAACTATTAACTCTGTAACTGCTCAAATGTGCCGGGTGTGTATTTGGCCGCGTCTCGATCCAATTTGTTTGAGCTGTCCGGTCGCGCAATCGGGGT